ATGCATTTTGATATGGGGAATCATATGATATGCAGTAGACATCTAAATATGGAGCCTCAAAAGACTTAATCTACAAATTGGATAAGTCATTATTTGGGTTAATGTAGTCACCATGTTAGTGGTATAAGCAGTTTGATTAGCTCATGATGGAATATGAGTACACTAGACCTCAATACAATCGTTGTGTGTATTTTAAAAGGTTAGCCAATGGTGAGTTCATCTGCTTGTTCCTATATATTGACGACATGTTGGATAAGTCCTTATCCGGGTTAATGTAGTCACCACATCAGTGGTATAAGCAGTTTGATCAGTTCATGATGGGACATGAGTACACGAGAACTCAATACAATCATTGTGTGTAGTTTAAAAGGTTAGCCAATGGTGAGTTCATATGTTTGCTTCTATATATTGACGACATGGTGATTGTATCTGCTTGTCTAATTGTGGTTGATAAGATGATTAAGAAATTATAAAAATATTTTGAGATGGGAGTTGGGAGAAGCTTGCAAGATGTTTAGCATGGAAATTCTCAGTGATAAGACATTGGAAAGGTTTAGCTCTCACATGGAGCATATGTTTAGTAGGTGTTAAAGAAGTTTATATTGGATAAGTTCTTAAAGTAGTCACCACATTAGGGGTATATAATTAGTTTGATCAGTTCATGCTGGGATAGGAGTGCACGAGAAATCAATACAATTATTGTGCATATTTTAAAAAGTTAGCTAATTGTGTGTTCATCTATTTGCTTCTATATATTGATGACTTGTTGATTGTATCTACTTGTCTGGTTGAGGTTGATAAGATGATGAAGAAATTGTCCAAATATTTTGAGATGAGGGAGTTGGGTGAAGCTCATAATATTCTTGGCATGGAGCATATGTTTAGAGGGTTTTAAAGAAGTTTGGTGTTGTTTGCTCGAGCAAGGTTGTGAGTCTACCAATTTCAACTCACTTTTAATTGAGTTCATATCTTTATAGCAGTGCATTGGGTAGTTTGATGTACGTCGTTGTATGAACCAGATTAGACATTGCACCAGCGGTTGGTGTTGTGAGCATTTTTATGCATGATTTAGGAAAGAATCATTGACAGAATGTGAAGAGTATTCTGAGGTACCTGAATGGTATATTTAATGTTGCTTGGTGTTTGAGAGATTGTGATCTATTATTGATTTGTGTGTAGACTATATTAATTCAGAGTATGCATGTGATATGAATAGGTGTAGGTCTACGACTGGCTATTTATTCACATTAGCAGAAGGTTCAGACAGTTGGAGATTGGTTTACTCTATTGTTGCTTTGTTTATTATGAAGACTGACTATATGGCAGTCGCGGAGGCGAGGAATGAAGATATATAGATGCAGTGCCTACTAGATGACTTACGAGTTGATAAGGAGTCGATGACGGTGTTTTGTGATAGTAAAAATGCAATATTCTTGGTCACAAGCCCAGTTCATCATGTGAGGATCAAGCACATTGATGTGAAGTACCACTTTGTTTAAAACTTGATTGATGATGTTATTAATATGTTGAAGTAGATACAAATGAGAATCTAGTAGATATGCTCATGAAGTACTATATGTCCAAAAGTTCACATATTGTTATGGTAAACATCCTATTTCATAATTGATTACCACTCGGGCATTTTAAGGAACTATGTGAGGCTTGATCCCGTAAGGAGGGGTATGTAGGCAACCATCTTGGTCCAGTAGTTATGTTATTGGAGCTCATCTTGGTCATCTCCTGCTTATCTGAAAGTGAGATTTAAGGTGGAGATTGTGATGGAAAGTATGAAATCGCTTATAATTAGGAAGATTGATATTTGCTAACGTAAGTTGAGGAGATCTAATTGTATAATCTTTTTTATAGTATGAAACCTAATTGTAGGAGATCTAATTATATGATCTTCATATGTTTGAAGTAGTTCTAGTTTGTTTGTCATAATCCTCTCTTTTTTGTAGGAGGGATTATTGAGGATTTGGGGTTTGTGTTGAGTTGTAACTCTAATTATGGCATTTTTTTCATTCTTCTCACCTATTCCTAGTGGAATAACCTCTCCCTATGGATGTAGGTGGATGTGCGTAGAACCTAGTAAATTGCAATGTAGTTGGTTGTTGATTTGTTTTGTGAGTTTATTTTCCGCATCGTTTTGCACAACATATTTGGGCTCTATTCATAAAATATTTGGGTTCTCTTCTTATTGAGATTATCAAGCTCATTAAATAACAACTTATTTACAAAAAAAGTAAATGAGCTATAATTAAGCAATGATCGAGCTTTAATTGCCTTAAATTTTATAAGAGCATTTTGTTGGCAAAAGTAAATAATCCATATTAAATAACGCTTGATGAGCCAATAAACATTTGAATTATATGCTTATGAATCGGTTGCAATCAAATTACAATCGTCAATGTTTATAAGCTTTAAATGATATTATTAAATTCTTCATAAATACATGTAGGAGGGATTATTGAGGCTTTGGGGTTTGTGTTGAGTTGTAACTCTAATTCTGCCAATTTTTTCTTTCTTCTCACCTATTGATAGTGGAATAACCTCTCCCTATGGACGTAGGTGGATTTATGTAGAACCTAGTAAATTGCAATGTAGTTGGTTTATTTGTTGTGTGAGTTTATTTTCCACATCGTTTTGCACAACATGTTTGGGCTCTATTCATAAAATATTTGGGTTCTCTTCTTATTGAGATTATCGAGCTCATTAAATAACAACTTATTTACAAAAAAAGTAAATGAGCTATAATTAAGCAATGATCGAGCTTTAATTGCCTTAAATTTTATAAGAGCATTTTGTTGGGAAAAGTAAATAATCCATTTTAAATAAGGCTTGATGAGCCGATAAACATTTGAATGATATGCTTATGAATTGGTTGTAATCAAATTATAATCGTCAATGTTTATAAGCTTTAAATGATATTATTCATAAATATAAATGAAGTAAATAGCAAACTCTTGACACTTGTTCATTTAGTAATTGAGTACTTGTCAAAAAATTCAATCTCGTTTGATTAATCAAATGATAATGAACAAGCTTTACTTAAGCCGGGCCACGAATAACTTATTAAACTCTCATTTGCAACTCTAGTCGTCTTTCCAATTTGTTTACCCTCAATTAATAATTTTGCCTTACCATATTTGAAACCTTAAATCTATATAGCTCAAAAATGAGTTATGGTAGCCAAGAAGAATGCAAATAAATAGAAGCAGTTAGAGTTATCTTTCAAAACAATTTGTATTCCTGGTAAGGTCCCATGCCACATAAACAATGGGAATTTACATACATATCACCAAATTCCTATGTATTTACGTATCTTATTTTTTTTACATTTATACCACCCAAATATTTCATATCACATGAAAAAAAATTCAACTTTTTTTAAATTTATAAAAAGTGAGTACACATTTTCATCTATTCATAAGGAGTGGCATATATGTACCAATTGAAGCTTAGGTGTCAGATATGTAAATAAATACATAGGAATTGAGTGGTGTGTATGTAAATGTTCCAAGAATAAGCAGCATCTTTGGTGTGGTTATGCTGCTGGGATGCCAAATTTTACCTCTGGCTAATATGAATTATACCCTGTTGTTGCTGCAAGCCATGTATTTTTCAATAATTTCAGATTTTCTATATAATGGAAACATAAAATTTCTTGTATAAAATGAAATTTTATTTAACATCAAATATCAAAAAATGCTGTTCAACATCAACATGTTCAGAAGAAAATCATCCTGAACTACCCCACCACAAAGAAAATGAAATTCTTTGTTTTACAAATTGTACAAAATAAAATAATTTTCTTATGCATCTACCCATTTTTATTACAATATAGTACATGTAATTAATAGAAGATTTGATGTTGATATTTCCCTCAATGGCACCAACTACTTTGTCTCTTGGGTGATGTAGAAGCTATCTCTCACTTCCCTTGTTTTTGAATTCACAAACTGTTGCCATTAAAACATTAAGAAATTAGATTAAAAATGAGATTATATATATATATATATATATATAGTAAAAAGGAATGGTAAGAGGCTGTTGTATGAGCCTTTAGGCACACCTAATGTGTAACAATTCAAGTACCACCTCCTTAAGGCTAACTGTGCCTATATGCATACATATATATATTTAAAAAATAAATGATGAGAGGATATTATACGAGCCTCCAACCACACTTAATGTGCCTAACAATTCGAGTACCACCTTCATAGGCCAACTATGTTAGAGGGGATTTGAACCCCCTACCTGAGGGGTCTTATACCGTGGATACCAACCAAAAGGTTGAAGTACATGTAACACACATTTATATAACATCTATTAATTAGATATTTGGAAAATGATGCCAATTAACAAGTTCGATGAGACTCTTGGCAAAGGCATTTATTTAATTAATTTAATTAATTAGTGAAGTTCAAGGTAGGTAATTGTATGAAGTTCAAATAACCCCAAGCCTTACCTCAAAGCTTAACTTTTCCTTTGTGGCATGAACTTTTGTGTAACCATATTCAGAAATCCTCTTTAAGCTCCATACATTATCAACCTACAGACATAATACAAAACATTATTAGTGAAGGCACAAATGTAAATATAAATCTATATATCTTAAAGTTTGTAAAATATAAAGTATAATATAATAAAAACTAAGCTAAAAGTACTTACTTGGCTTGGAAAGATATCAAGCTTGAACCCAGCCATTCCAATGACTGCATGAACTGGAGCTGTATAATTACCATTATAGTAAGCATCCACTCCATTACTGTCTTTTATTGGCATTCCCCTACATTCATTTTTATAAACTGCACAGGTTCTTTCATAGTTATGCACATGCCCAAATAATGCCAAGTCCACCTGTAATATTTAATTATAAATTAGCATTATAAAAAAAAATTATCCTTTTTTAACTCAATTATCAAGTAAATCTTATAATTTAGTATATATATATATATATATATATATAAGATGAAATAGTATTTAACCTTACTTTATGTTCCATTAGGAGAGGCTCAACTGAGTCAACAAAGCCTGAATCTACACTTGGAAGAATGCTATCCTGAGATGAATACATTGGTCTGTGCCTGTAATTTATAATTACCAAAGAAAAAAAAATGCATGTTAATTTTCAAGATGACTCTTAATTAACATGTTAAATGCATTAATGAAATGAAATGAATCATTGAAATATAATATTTAGAAAATAAATAATTAAGTTATATTATTAATTATAATATATTGATGAAATGGAACTTGATTTTATGATAATTAAGAATCAATGTCCATTGAATGTTCTATCATGTTTAGGGCACCCTTGAATGCTAGCAGTACAATTAGTTTGACTATTTTTTAGTAGTAATTAAATATTGTATTATAAATTGCACATTATTCCATCATCAATATCAAGAACATATGTGTTAATGGAAATAGAAGTATTATTACTAATTGGAATTAATATAACCCCTCAATACATCACTTCACTTTTAATCTTTATATTGGAATTAGACAGAATTTGTATTTTATTATTATGTTTTATATATCAAAATATTAATATAATATGCTGAAAAACATATTCTATCATTAACAAATAAAGATTAACATGATATGCTACTAAGCTTATTTTATCATCAACAAATATTATGAAATAAAAATGGAACAAAATTTAAGTAATTACCCAGTAAAAACTAGCCAGGGAGTCTTTAGTCTATCAACAGATGCCAAATCTTTTTTAATCCAAGCATACTGCAAAAATTAAATAAATAAAATAAAATTCATTAAATATATTTTATCATACTCAAATTCCATGCATACATAATCATAAGAAAGTAGTATTTTTTTTCTTAATTTCTAATTTTATTATTTACCTGTTCAGAATTCTCAGTCCAGTCATGTTCTGTTGATACAACTGTTATGTGAACGGTAGCTTGTTCAAAAGAGTACCATGGTTTATCCTTTGCACTCGTAGGCATTTGAAAATAGCTCTCGTAAGCAACACCGCACTCTCCACCTGAGTCTGGTGTAACGTACACAGAACCAGAGTCTGGATAGTCCCTATAATACATATAATCCCTCATCATGTCATGTAAATACAATGTATTTACTACATATTATGCACTTATAAACATACAAGGTTACATCATCTTTTTATATGTTAAAATTGGATTTATAAGAAAAATTCAACCTTAAATATCATTTAATTTTTATTATCTAAATGATAACATAACCAAAATATATTTTATCAGATTGAGAAGAAATTTAAATGAATTAAAGCTTACCTTTCATGATTTCCTATAGCTGTCATGTAGGAAAGTTGGCCAGCCACAGGAGTAATAAGATTGAGGAAGAAATCCCACTCCACCAAAAATCCAGTTGCATAACTTATGTCCCCAATATGTAAAATTGAATCAATTTTCCCAGCTGCAACTTCATCAGTCAAGGCCTCCACTACAGATATTGATCCTGGCTGCAATTTATCAATTAATATCATTGATCAGCATTATTTAAGTTGTTTGAATTTAATAATTAGGTAGCCACATTATATTATGTACAACTGTTTTATAAATCTTCTGAATATATGATGTATGACATGAAATTAACAGGCATAAGAACATTCATACCTGTATGTAGTGTTCAACTGATAGATCTCTAGGAGCTTTTCCCATATCTCCATAAGCTAAAAATGTAGTTTCATTTGCTCCAGCTGCTGGGGGTGTTGAGAATTTGATATCCTTACTCCATCCAACAGAGTCACTTTATTTGGAAAAAAAATAAGAAAATCAAGGTTAATATATGATGAAAGAGTTACTTGATGAAAATAATAAATAATATAAACTCAAAATAAAATGAGTTTATTTTAGTTAACTAGTTTTTTAGCTATAAAACACAAACTAATTAATTTGTATTATAAATAAGTTCAATTAATAGATAGTGTTACCTTCCATATCTGTAGAAGTAGGAAGTGGAAGGTTGGAGTCCTGTAATTATGGCTGAATGGATATATCCAGGATCATGCCATCCAAAATCCTTAGCAGGACTTAGGTCACCTAAAAACATGAATTAATTAATGATTAATCAAATAATTAATTCTAATAATTTATTTATTTAACAACATACTAAGTTTGCTATCTCATAGTAAGACAACTGCTTTCAAGAGGAATGATCGTATGCTATTATACGAGTCCTGATCATCCTTCATGCGCCTAAGAATTTGAGTATCACACTTTACACTTGGGATATGTGTGTGTGTGTGTGTGTATTAAAATTTCAAGAGGAATGGTCGTATGCTATTATACGAGCCCTGATCATTCTTCATGCGCCTAAGAATTTGAGTATCACACTTTACACTTAAGGGGATTCGAACCCCAGATCAGAGGGAACTTACAACTTATAAACAGATGTCCAACTAACTGATCTGAATACAAGTGTAATTTGAAGTTTCCCTCCTAAACTCTTTTGATTAAAAAGTTTACTAGTTACTATGCAAAATCAAATATTGCCCCTAAATGGGGGACTGAAAAAAGGAAAGAAGCTCACTGCACATATCCTGTGGTTTAAATGTTGTAACCACAGAAGTTGATGAATTCCCATCCGCATATAGAACTTGTTGGGGCTTCCCATCTCCACTGACCCAAGTTAATTTCATCTGCTCATGACAAACAAATCCATATCCACCATTTATAAAGTTAATCACACATGATAATTAAATTACATACATGCAGAAAATAAACACATACTGTTGTTCCAGTAGAACCAGCACTGGAAAGATGGCCATATAATGGTTGATTGGGGTTTGCAAAACCAATTGGAGCTGATCTCTTGAGTATGCACGGGACATCAAAACCACCAGCGAAGAACACAAACTCTAACTCAGTTCTAATATTCACAAAATGGAATGTAACAGAACCACTGCAGGTTTCTATCAAACACTCGTTGTCTTCTCCATAATGCTTGCATTCTGTTTTGTTGCAGCTCAGGTAGGAGGGATCATTGCTCATTTTTTGTGCCTGTGTTTTAACATTCAAATCATTCATTAATTACTGTAATTAATCTTACCTTTAAATCCAAATTAAACATATTGATAGATCTATTTAACTGCGCTAACACATATTTAATTGTTTTGGGAGTCAATATACCTAATTTTTAAATTAATTAATGCTATTTCCACATTCGTTTTGAATTGAATAATGCCATGGAATATATAAATTAATTGTAGTTCCCAATTAATTAACTTTAAAATTATGGCATGTTCAATGAATATCTTGTTAAGAATTAAAAATTATTAAATTAATGTGTTTACTAATTAATTACCTTCACTGGATAATGGCACAGAAGCGGCAGATCGCTCAGATCTCCAGTTTGTGCGTACATTGCCGCGTTCAACGGACAATCCTTCACGCTGCACATCATTATAATTGAAGGTTAGAAAAAATTAACAAATATATTTATCGCTGTGTGTATGGATGCACCAAAATTATTACATGCAGATTTTCCCATTTGTAAATAATAATAATAATAACCGCCTTGTAATTTATGAGAAAAATTTGCATACGCAAGACGTACGTAGTGCTGCGTACATCAGGGAGGTTATTCAGAGGTTATTGGGGGCTTATATCCGCATTATACCTCTTGTAACCTCCTTGTAACTTACCTGTAACTTATAAATATATGAAAACAAAAGCGCGGAATTTACTAGAAGGTTACAGGTAGGTTACAGAGAAGTTACAGGATTTACACCCATGAATAATCTTACTAACGTATATGACACTGCGTACGTCTTATGTATGCAAATTTTTCTCGTAATCAAAGCCATTAAACATAGGTACGTGTGAACGGTACCTAATATTTAATTAGCTTTCATATAAAAAATTATAAAAAAAAATCCTAAGCCGCCACTTTTACTGTTTTTAATAATAAAATAACTGTTATATTAATAAAAAAAACAAAATGAAGGATGAATTGTACTTTAAGAAAATTAACGAGAAAGTATGAATCATTACTCAATATTGGAAGGCGAGATCATGGCTATCCAATCAGACTCATCAGTATCAAGCACCCCGCTCACAGTTACAGTTATGTTTCCTTCGTCCGGCAGCATCGAGCTCATGCTGACATTAATGGAGAGATAAGGATTCAAATGAGGACACTCCTTCAGAACTCTTCTGTTTATGCCTTTGAACTTCGAAATCTCAGAGTAAGAAGAGGAAGAAGAGAGAGCCAAATATGTGAAGGAAAGAGATAATAGACAGAGGATGAGAAAGTGTTTCATGGTGAAGTTAAGGTCTGTTTGGGGGCAGATGCAGCTTATTGAATAATTTATTGATAAGTTAGGTGCGGTGGCTATTATAAACAGGACAAGTGTGTTTTCAAAGCACTACCGCACCAAATAAGCTGCCTCAAACGGGCTTTAAGAGAGAGAGAGAGAGAGAGAGAGTTTTTAGTGTATAGTTTCTCTCCCTTTCCTTCTTCTTCCTCTGTTCTGTTTTTCAGAGCTGCTTCGCATGAGATCTTGATGCTACGAATGGAGGAAGTAAGTTCCCATGCAGGCATTGGGGTATATATATAAAGGAAGGAGTGAGAGAATTCAATTTGCGCCTACGGTACGTTGAAGAAGACCTTTCTAAATGGCGCGATGGTTCCTTCCGCATACTTTTATCCTTTTGGTTTCATATTTGCTGCATGCTCGAAACGTACGTTTAAATGGTCTATGATGTGGATTTGCAATTATTATGAATATCTCATAAATATAAACTTACTCATAGTTGAATATATTATATATGATTATAAGAAGTAAACTTATGTATTTATCACACAATTCTTATGTATTTACATATCTCACCTCTAAACTTTCATATTTACATATAAATATAAATATATATATATACCTTTTTGGTGCTTTAATTTTATGGCATGAATATATGTATTTCACATTTAAAAAGAGGTAATAATGATATTTTTGATCTGATATTAAAGATTTGAGTGTTATGCGTGCACCATAAAAGCTGAGATGTGCCACGCAAATACGAAGAACTGTGTCTAAAATTAAGTTGTTGAATTAGTCAACTTTTTATAAAACTAAACAAGACTTTGGAGCCAAGGAAACTAATTCTAGTCATAATTTTTTTTTCTAAAATGGATTATAAGAACTTAATATTTTGTCGCTTTTTAATAAAAATCTTATTATAGTTCAAAGTATTAATCATTAAATAATAAGGGATTGTTAAAGAGGCGAAAAGTCTTCGTGTTAATCTCTCTATCCCTTATAGTTTGAATAAAATATTCATATTGCTTATTATTCATTTAGCTAGAATTATCAGCTCTATTTTAAGCCGTTGGATAGAAAATAGTCTGCAGATAACTGGAATTTAGATAAATTTATTTATTAGACAAATTAAATGTATTAATAATTTTCAAAAGAATACTCCTTCTAGGTGTTTACACGCGTCCTGCATAGAGGAGTCGAATGAGAGGCCTCTTACATTACGTCAAAGTCATTTTTTTTAATAAATTTAATCTCTTAAATATGCAATAATTACATAATTTTAAAAAATTGTTATAATCCAAGATAGGGCTGTCAAAACGGTTTGTTGTTCGCGGAAAGATCGTGTTCGGCTCGTTCGCTAAGTTAACGAGCCGAACACGAACAACACGAATAAATATTTGTTCGTTCGTGTTCAGCTCGTTTTGGCTCGAAATACCACTAATCATATAT